GCGAATAGGCCACTGCGTGACAGCTGGCCATGGTCCACAGGTGGGGGACACCTGATTTATATAATCTGCCCTTCTTGGCATTCCCATAGCAGCCTACCAAGGGTTGAAACACTTCAAGTGTCAGGATTCCGGCACTTAACCCCATTTAAATCATGAGTCTCGAGCCAAACTTCCAAAACTTCAAAAGGATTTATTGGGAGTTAACATGCCAGCACTGCCTGGGTGTAGCCGACTCTGAGATACATCATTCATTGTCACCCTTGACCCTGGTTTTCCCCCCACCCCCTGGGTTTATCGTAATCCATATTCTCCAACGGGACACGTCCATAGCCCAGAGTCATCGATCAGGCTCTCCAGTTAGAATTTTGCACGGCAGAAACGTAGGTCATCTAGTTACTATCTTTGAAAACATTTGTGGAATGCACTTTCAGTTTTGCAAGCTGCTGCACTTCTCCCCCCTCCCTACAGCTTAATAGTTGAAACGCTATTAAGGTGGGGTTTCCCCCCCTTCCAGGAACCCTGAAGCTCATGGAAGGAGCAGACAAGCTGCTGTGGTCTGTACAAGTGGACCATCAACTTTTTGCTCTGGAAAAACTGGACGTCACAGTAAGTTTGTGCTTAGCTGACCAGCACTTGGGGCAAACGAGGTGTATCCAGGCACGGAAGGACTGTCAGGGAACCATCTCTCAGTGAGAAATCAGAAGAAAAAAAGCCTTTGTAAAGTTCTAGGTATCATTTTCTTGAGATAACGATGCCTCTGTGTAGGTAATCCTTGACTTACAACAGTTTACTTAGTAACCATTCAAAGTGACATCCGTGATAAAAGTGACGAATGACCATTTTTCGCACTTACGACCGATGCAGCCTCCCGCAGGAGATCAAAATTCTATTCATTTCCCCACCTGCACCTGGCCTGGCCCCTGTTTTTTTTTGAAACTATAGTCCTGCCCTGCTCTTTTTAACAGCTGAGACAGTCTGATTTACAAATGTTATAGCCTCTTACATTCTTCTCTTGCTGCCTTTGTTGCGTTCCCCGACTCGGGTATCGTGGACAGAGAAAGAGACAGGAAGAGAGAGACAGGGAGATAGAGGAGGGAGGGAGGGAGGGAGAAAGAGAGAAGACAGGGAGGGAGAGAAAAGGAGAGAGAGAGCATGGCTGCCTTTCTGACAGGCGACTTCTTTCTAAGTAAGTTTCCTTCCCTTTTAGGGAAACGGTTATGAGGAGGTGATCGCTTGCGCTTGGGATGGACAGACGTACATCATCGATCACAACCGGACAGTGGCCAGGTTCCAAGTGGATGAAAACGTCAGCGCCTTCTGTGCCGGTGAGCGACTCCCTGGCCGTTTTCTAACTCACAGGTCTGCCAACCTGCCCCCCCCCCTCCCCAGGACTAGACCACTTCCAAGGTCCCTTCCGGTTGATTTTGAGGATTTGGGCAGCATGCATTCTGAAGACAGATTTACCCTTGATTATAAAGGAATGGGACATTTCCCCCCAAACTTTACATCCTACGTAGAAATTCCTTTCCAGGAGGAGGAAAAAATGCCTTTGCAGCTGCCAGCCATTGTGTACAGTTGAATTATGGGAGATTGATTCTTCCCACTCAGATTCTTTCCTAATGGGCTGCGCTTCTGCAGAATAGAGATGCCGCCCCTTGTTTTGACGGCTCCTGTGGACCAGCTATATATATTTCTAGATTAAATGACACATTTGCTTGGTGGCCTCACAGGATTTGTAAAGTTGTTTAGGGATTTCGGCAGGCCTCGTCATCAGATATTTATTTTTTGGGGGGTCTCAAATTCTGGCGGCCCTTCTGCTTTTAACAATTTTAACAATCTCTCCAGGCTTCTATTCTTGTAAAGGAGACTATAACAGCCCTTGCTTGGTCTACGTCAGTTTCAACCAGAAGATCTACATCTATTGGGACATCCAGTTAGAAAGGATGGAGTCCACCAATTTGCTGAAGACGCTAGAAAATAATTTAGAATGCGGAGAACTCATGCTTCGGCTGGATGTAGGTAGGTTTCTTTGTGGTTTCTACCAAAGTAGGTTTCTTTGTGGTTTTTACTAGGGTTTCACCGAGCAACTATCCAGTAGCTGACTTCGGGGGTGGGGTGGGGAGATAAGATATAGGATCTTTTCACTTATTATCAGAGATGCCCCGAGGATTGTAACATCAGACATCACGGCTGTAACGAAGAGTATCAACATCCTGGCATCATTTCCTGGAGGCTGGTTTCCTGGACCATCTTTATTTATTCCCCTTAAAACAGCTGAACTTTCCATCTTTTTTAAGGCAGGATTATTTGTGATGGAGAAAGGGACTCTGTTGATTTTATTTTTTTGCTTTAGTTCAGTATGCCTGGGCATCCATCTTACTGTCACCTTCATTATTTAGACGTTACTCCTAATTATCGAGATAATTTTTTGACAGATTAAAGCATTGTGAAGATTCTGAATTTTTTTTTAAAATGAGAAACACTGGGGCATCCTGGGGCAGTGATCCACTAGGTTTCTGAACTAATCCCGAGCATGGATTTCCATACACTGGAGAAATCGATGGGAATCTATTCACCTGAAGCCACAAGGAGTCTGCAAATTGCAAAAAAAAAAAAACCTTATATCCACCCCCACCCCATCTCACCTTCCCTATTTGTGCATAGAGATGGTTATTACAGGTTGCCACTTATCACAAATCACTGCAGTTAAGTTAGTAATGTTAAGTGAATCCTACTTCCTCATTAACTTTGCTTGTCAGAAGGCCACAAAAGGGGATCACCCCAGGGACACTGCGACCGTCATAAATACGAGCCAGTTGCCAGGCGTCTGTTGATCACATAATCATTGGGGGACGCTGCGAAGGTTGTAACTCGGGCATAAGTCCCTTTTTGTAACTTTGAATGGTCACTAAATGAATTGTTGTAAGTTGAGGACTACCAGTACTTTTCCTCGGTGCCATGTAGAGTGCCTCTCTTAAGTAACAGTGTCTCTTCCCCTTTTTTCATAGCCAAAGATGACGTTTCGGCTGTCAAAGATCTGATTCACAAGACCTTATACTTTTCCAAGAAAGTAATTTAAATAGTCTCGGCCACGAAGAAACTTCCATCTCCAGTACTCTGGGCATGCTCATTGGGACTCTGTTCCAGTCCTGCAGGTGCATCATCGGGAACGAGACGCTCACAACGGAAGATTTATGAGCCCTGGTGGCACAGTGTGGCATTGCAGGCTGACTCTGCCCACTGCCAGCAGTTTGATACTGAGTGGCTCAAGGTTGGCTCAGCCTTCTCTCCTTCTGAGGTCAGGAAGAGGAGGAGCCAGATTGGGTTTGTTTTGGGGGGGGGGGGGAAGAGGCTGACTCTGTAAAACCGCTTAAGAGGGCTGTGAAGCGATATAAGTCTTTTTAAATGCTATTGCTACTATATCATCTCCCTCTTTCCTTAGATGAAAAATGCAAGGTTGTGCATGTAAACGTCTGCGTGTATATGTGTAAATATATCGTTGGGATGAATCTTGTGTTACTTATTTTCTTCCCCTTGTTAGTTACGGGCTTTTAAGGAAAGTTTCAGTAAAGAAAAGTCTGGACAGAGGCCTCCTCATTCGATTTGTAACGTTCCCCTTATTCCAAGTTATTGCTCCTATTCCAGAAGAAGCCAGAGATGCTTGGCACACGCAGGGAAGGATGAATACAGGAGGTGCTTTAGCAGTTGGTTAGGACCTCTGGTGCTTGGGGTCTACTTGGGGGGGGGGGATTCTGGAGGCCCCTAAATTGGGTTGATGGAGAAGCAGGGCTCTCGGGAGAGGATTGACCTAGCTTCAGCAGTTTGGGGCCATCTTGAGCCACTTGCTCTCTGGGTTCTGTTTCCCTTGATCCCAATAGTAGCAATAAACATAGTCTGATCAGCACCTTGCACTGCACTCAGAATACAGAATAGCAGAGTTGGAACCTTGTAGGTCATCTAGTCCAACCCTCCTGCTCAAGCAGGAAATCCCACCTAGACCATTTCAGATAACTGACTGTCCAGTCTCTTCTTAAAAACCTCCAGTGATGAAGCACCCACAACTTCTGGAGGCAACTTCTGTTCCACTGGTTGATTGTCCTCACTGCTAGGAGGTTTCTCCTTAATTCCAGGTTGCTTCTCTCCTTGTTGAGTTTCCATCCGTTCTTCCTTGTCCAGATCTGGTGCTCTGGAAAATAAGTGGATCCCCTCTTTGGGGCAGCCCCTCAAATGCTGGAATACTGCTATCATATTCCCCCTAGTCCTTTTCTCTAGGCTGGCCAAACCCAAACCCTGCAACTCTTCTTCGTATGCTTTACTCTCCAGGCCTTTAACCATCTTAGTTGCTCTTCTCTGCACTTTTTCCAAAATCTCATCATCTTTTTTGTAATGTGACCAAAACTGGATGCAGTCTTCCAGCAGTGGCCTTAACTAAGGCTATATAAAGCAGTATGAATACTTCATGTGATTTTAATTCTATGCCTCTGTTTATACAACCCAGGATTGCATTAGCCCTTTTGGCGGCTGCCACACATGGCTGGCTCATGTTTTAAGCAATCATCCACTAGGACTCCAAGGTCCCTCTCATGGTTCCTGTTTCTGAGCCAGTATTCACCTAATCTGTGCTTTATACCTTTTGTTTTTCCTGCCCAGGTGTAAAGTATTTTCTCCACATTAAATTTCATGTTGGATAGGGCCCATTGTTCCAAGCCTGTCAAGGTCTTCTTGGATCCTGATTTAACCAAGAGTGCTACAGAAGAAACTACAGGGACTGTGTCTGCCCATCCAGTTTATTCTTCCCTTCCTTCTACAGTCAAGTTAAATTGCATTAGCGCCCCTCTCCATATTACATGTAGTTCCCCTGAATCCATGGGAATGCTGCAACCAGGTGCAGCAGCACCTTAAAAAGACAAGGGAATCCTTTCTTGTTTTTGTTTGCGGCTGAATTTACGGGAAAGTTTCAAAAACCCATTTTCCCACCCCAAGTAATTACATACACGCCGTAGAGATTATACAGTTTTAATCTGCTTAACTGGCAAAACAGAGCGGTGTTGCATTAATTGTTTTAAAAAGCCAATTATGAAATGACTCCATTTGGGTTTGCTTTTCTTTCAGAAGCCACCACCACTTAGTGCATAACAGCCTTCGATCTGCTTATCCACGCTGGCCTCCGACTGCCTTGGCCTAATCCCTCGCTGCCCTTCCTCAATGCATGGATTGGCTGCAATATATTCTGAGGTCACAGCCAGAGAGCTCTCAAGCCTTGTGTTATCCACACCTCACAAAAGTAGCAAAACAGGGCAATGACAATTTGGAAGACGCCCTTCAAACCTCATCCAAGCACAGGCTCTCAAGGGTTGTGCACTTCTTCCAAATTACTTGAGGCACGAATATCCTGCTTTTCCAAGAGTCCAACTGAGCTGGAAGCATAAATTCTGATCCTGCTTTCCCAACCCATCTGCTCCGATCAGATATCCAAAATAGATCTCTGTGCTCCTTTCCTTGACCTGAAATAGCTTGCATTATAAGTGGCCTTTCCCCTCTCTCCCCCTCCCCCTTGTGACTTCTTGAGCTGCTGGACTTCTGACCTCCCTTTCTCCCACCTGGCTGAACAAGTAGCTTTTCAGCAAAACCTTCAACTGTTGGCGTGGAGCTGTGGGCAGGCTTCCGAGGGAATTGTGGAAATGTAGACCAATGTCCTAGTGGGAACGCCTGATCTATCTTGATTACGTGTTTCTATGCTAAATGGAAAGGGGGGAGGAACAGGGAAGTCCCCGAATTTCTGACCTGCTGTAGGTCCCACCAGGTTGCTCTAGAAGGATGTCCTACAAACTGGCAGGTGTTCGAAGGCTTATGGCATGTGGGTGGCCTCCTTCCAAAAATGGCTAATATCACTGCAGCAACCCTTTTTGTAACCTGCAACAAGATCTGGCCAGATGTTGTTCGCCTGCACTTTGATCTGTCCTCTTTATGCCAAAGCTCCCGCTGGTGGTGGATGCCATTGGCAGACAATCCTTTTATCGAACTTGTATCTCTGGGTGTTGCTGATGTTGAGTGGGGAGGAATATCTGCATTTAGAGTCCAAGGGCTACTGCCACCTCCAGACTTTTTAAAGAATTTACTGCTCGAGCTTTGGTTTCCTGCTTCTTCCTCTTCTGCAGAAGAGGAGCCCTTACAAGTAAAGTGGCCATCCCTGCTCAGGACAGAGGGGCATCCATGTCGACAGACCCAAAGAAAGAATGTTAAGGCTGCAGCAGAAAAGGGAGCTCTGGTGTATTTAGGCCTCTCATGCAAATAGCTGTGTGCATGTGCAGATAAAAACTTTTCTTTTTAAAAATAAGGGATGGGGGGAAGGAAAGTAAAGAAGGGGGAATAAAATGTGGCGTTTGATTAGGCCAAGCTGGAACCTGAGAAAGATGCCAGGAAACTGAGAAGAGGGATCCTAACCTGAAACTTCCCAAGGTCAACAACAACAGAGTAAAGGATGCATGTCCGAATAAATAATACATCAAACATAACTTGGCTCTGTTCTGCCACCATTTCCTATATAGATGCTAAACAGCCCCCAGCCATCGCCCCCTTACCAAATCAGATAGAAAAATAAAGGTCTAGAGTTCACTGGAAATTCTTCAGTTTTAGAAAACTAACGGGTCAACTTTCAGCCTCAAATCTCTATGTCAACTTCTGTTTTCTCCTCCACACCGTTCTGTTTGCCGTCTTTCGTGTCAGCCTCTTCTTTGCATCCTGCATCCAATTCCAACTGGAGAGGGGGGAAAAAAGCATTAGGAGAAAAACCGAAATGAGACTCTTTTCATAAAAAGCTTTGGAGCATGTGTGATTGTGTACGTGTGTGTGTGTGTGTGTACACACACATTTACTCCTGTCAGTAGCAACAGAGGCTTATTTCCCGGGTTTGCAAAGCGACAGGACCAGACCGGGAAAATACGCTAACTTCATTAACTTAAATGAAGTTAATATTTTCCTGACCTGCTCCTGTCGCTTTGCAACCCCAGGAAATAAGCAAGCCTCTGTTGCACACTCCAAAGCTGCATTTTTGGCTTTGACTCTTCGACCACAGACATTCCTGGGTTAAGTCAGGTGAATGAAGTTACGGTTGCAGAAAAGGCAGCCATTTCTATTCCTTTGTACCTTCAGTGTGCGTGCGTATCACGGGGCCTATATGGGTGATTGATTAACCAGTTTATTGGTTACCTAGTGGGGTAGGTGACCTCTGAAACTCAGGGCATCTGATGACAGGCTGGCCCTTTGCAACAAAGGAGCGGCCGAGAAGCAGTTGGCAGTGTAAACACGGAGGGCCTCCAGACTCGAACATGAAACAAAAGGGAAGGCAGCGACGTCAACGCTGAGGGGGGGTGAGCTAGAAGGAGCACCAAAACTGGCAAAACCAGAGATCACGTCAGGCCTTAATGTGCGAATATAGTCCTGGGACTTCAGTAGCTGTGACTTGAGGTACAGGTTCTACCCACCATGGAGACTTTTCTCCCTTAGAGGGCGGAAGGCCCAAGAGGACAGCTATTCCCCCCCCCCTCTCCAAGGTAGCAGTCAGTTTGTGTCTGTCCTGTACAGGTGAGACCTCTCAACTTATGACCCCAGCTGAGCCCAAAATTTACGCGAGAAAAATTGGGAGAAAATTGGCTGAGTGAGTTTTGCCCCATTTTAGGGCTTTTCTTGCCAGGTATGTTTAAGTGGATAATTGCACTTGTTAAGTTAGCGTCATGGTTGTTAAGGGAATCTGGTTTCCCCCACCCCACCCACCCACCCACCCACCCACTGACTTTGCTAGTCAGGAGGTTGCGAAAAGGGGATTGCGTGACCCAGGGATGCTGCAACTGTCGTATATGTGAATCGGTTGCTTAAGCATCCGAATGTAAAGCAACTGTAACCATGGGAATGCTGCAATGGTCAGAAGTCACTTTTCACTTTGAACGGTCTATTCTATATTCTATTCTACTTTACTATTCTATTCATTCTTTTTTATTCTATATTCTATTCTATTCTTCATTCTGTTCTATATCTTCTATCTTCTTCTATATATATAAAAGGAGAAATAACCACTATACGCATCATCACAAATCTCCAGAACCGTAAAACCTACAACTTGACATTTGGCACGTAGGTTCCTCTTGGCTTCTAGGGGCTCACTAAGAAAGGATTCTTCGAAATGATCCTCACAGCATTTAGAGAATTTCCTATATTATTATTATTAACACGCTCTGATGCTAAGGAGTTCTACTCCCCCTCCCCACCTAAAAAGAAATCTGTTCCAAATGCAAAACACAAGCAGGGAACAGTTTCAGTTTCACAGCATCACCAAGCAGCTTCAGTACAGAACAATTGAGCTAAGCCACGCCCAGGCTCCTTGCTGTCTCCTTGCTCACACAGCAAATACTCTTTCAGTTTCCAAACAGCCCTCAACTCTCTCACACACTGACAGGACGCTAGCCAGATGAACACCGATGGATGCTGGCAGGCAGAGGCAGAATTTTTCCCCCCTTATTTTCCTCCCCAAAAACTAAGCCCAATCACATAATTTCATCGTGAAGCACGGGTATCCAGCTAGTACTATTCTATTTTTAGAACAGAATTATTACCTTTGCTTCTTTGTCTGCCAGTCTCTGGAACATGTTGGCGTACATTTTTTTCTCCCTTTCGTGCTGGTCGCGTATCTTCTGCTGGGAGATCAGGAGCTGGGCTTTGGCCGCCTTGTTACTTGGGTAGAGCTGTAGCACCTTCTGGAAATCTGCCCTGGCTAACTCAAAGTCGTTGACGGCCAATCGAGCCTCGCCTCGCCGGAAGAGGCCCTTCTCGTTGTTGCTGTCCAATTCCAGCGCCTGAAATGATTGAAGGAGAGCAGTTGGACAAGACATCCGAAGGCCCGGCCCAATCGCAAACGGGGCAGGATGGGTTCAGGGGTTTGCTCCAGGAGACAAAACGGCGAGAAATTCAAAATTTCATCCGGGACATCCCCAAAAAGCATTCATCCAATTTACCTTATTGCAGTTTTCCAAGACCTGAGAATACTCTTTCAGCTTTAAGTGGCACATGGCCAGGTTGAGATGGGCAGCGAGCCTCAGGTTCCTGGATTGGGATTTCTCCATATCCGACAGGCCGGTTTCATGCTCCAGCCACGATACGGTTTTCTTATACTGTAACGTTGCTCGCTTGTATTTCCCCTCCTGGAAAACAAGCTTGTGGTGAGATTCAAAGGGACCCAAAGGCCAAA